TATAGCATGCCAATTTTTGGTCCTCACAAAGATGTCTAAACATGCACACACACACACTCTCCATGGCACTCACCAGATGTAACAACCTTTGTGGCAGAAACCATGTACATGTTCAATTCAAACACCAGTACAGTGTTTGCCATTTGCTGTGAAATGGTTCAGGGTTCACGTTAGCTACAACACATTGTTACCTGTGTCCATTCAGGTTCACAGCCCTCTGCTGCTTGTGATGCCACCTGTCCTGACCTGAGCTGTCACACTCTGATAGGCTGAACAGTTTCACCAGCAAATGAGAGCAGACCAAGCTGGTGCTGGGACGAATGTAACATTGTGGGTTTGGAGCAGAGTTAATGGCATACTGTCGTAGCCCTACAAAGAAGCAGTCTGCCATATGATGTCAGTCAGTCAGTGAGTCACTGTGAAGCAACATAGCACTATCCATCTGCTGCTCGCTGCTGTAACATACAGTCTCATAAATACTGAGATTGTGTTACTATGCGAAGCAGAGGACCAGTCACATACAGCGGATGTTTTTCATGAGACAAAACTCAATTTTTATTGGATTTAGTGTTTATTAAAGTTGTAGTTTCCATGACAACAAGTAAATCTCACATTAGAGGATAAAAGCAATCATTTTGGAGTGGAAAACAGTGGAGGAAAGTACATGTGAGCAATGACACAATGGAAGGTAGGAAATTGAAAAGCTGATAACCCATTACTGATCAAATTCATCTTATGGCTCCAAAAAAACCCCCAACATAGCACAAGCAAAATCATATAAATTAAATCCTAGAGTGCTAATGTATTAGCTAACAATAGCTTGCTTCATTACTAAGTTCCATTCAAAAACTCTGCGGGTGCAATGTAGACACACACTCCAGCTTATTAGTGCTACATGACAGAGTAATAAATACAGAAACTTCCCTCACCAAACCTGAAACACAAACTTCTTCCTTGGTCTGTACGTCACAGTAAACTATAAGATTGCAAGTGGATGTAAGGCAAAAAACAGGCATATCATTCATTGGTTCAAAAATAGTCCACCCAAGCTTAATATAAAGCTTACAGTATGCGAGAAATGAAAAGTAGCTCCATTAGTAAACCTCTGTATCCATCTGTTAATACTGATTTTTGATTTATTCTACCTTGAGAACTGAGCTGATCTACTCTTGCTTATTAGCAAGTTGTGTGCTTTCTTGTCTTTCCAGATCCCTATGAAGACCATACAGGCTCTCTGCGTCTCATCACTATCAAGCCCATGACAGCCCAGCCAACCTACTCGTATCCCTCTTCCTCTTCTCACAGCCAAGATTCTGTGGTTGTCAATGGGGACGTGAGTTGGAAAACAAACATTTACACGCATGTCTGCAAAGCTTTCCCGGACTCGGAAGTGGTGACAGAATAGGGCAGAGTAAAAAGTAGGACACCATGAGTCACACAGACAAGTGCAGCATTTGGTAACCACGTTTCGTCTACCATTGTTTAAACGATTGATGATGTTGGACTGCATCCAAATTGAAATCAATCAACTCAATTGATTGAACAAATATTAATGGGTGGTATTGAAGAAGTAGTTCATCAAGCTCTTTAGGTGCATCAACTCAGAAAGGTGCTTTTCCATTCTGTTATACTACCCCTCCTCCACCATAGTAGTAGTAACATAACATCTCCTTTGGGACAAATTGTACTGTTACTGAATATAGCTGTTGTTGCTACAAACACTATTCCTCTGTCTCTCTTTAATCTCTCAGTCAGCCCATCACATCTCATTCTTATTCTGCCTCAACCTGTCTGCACCTTGCTGCAGCTCAAACAGCAACACACAGGCTCATGATAAATCCACCCTCAGTCTATTAACATAAGACTATAAAACCCCATGATTAGAGTGTGTTTCATAGTCTGAATATCTGGATGTGAGTACTAAAAAGAAAGGCCAAAAAAGTAAAAATAACAATTGTGTGTATATATATATATATATAAATAAAATAATAATAATATTTTGATTACTTGAATTTGCAGGCTAACCATAGTGGGCTTAAACAGAAGTCCGACATTGAGCACTACAGGAACAAACTGCGTCAGAAGGCCCGGAGGAAAGGCTACGGAGAATTCTCGCTCTCCGAGACTGGAAGCCACGGTTATAGCCACCGTGACACGAGGCACAGCCGGCACGACAGCGCGGTGAAAGAGCCAATGACTGCCGAGGAAAAGAGGGCGTCCTTTGCAGGGTGTCACAAGAGGTATTGTAATATAAATATAATTAAATATGCATATTTTGGAATATAATTAAATGTTTGTCTTATCACTGACTTGATTTGCTGCAGAAAGTGAAATAAATCTCAATGACCAATCACAAAATATGTATTACGAGGATTAGACCTTATTATGAAATTACAGTTCTTACACATGAAATTTTTGTTTCATGCCATTTAAATAATGAATGTTCAAGTGTTAAACTACTACAATGATGAACAATAAAGGCTAAATCCATTTTTTTTCATCTGGAAATATAAACTTAATGTGATGCTGTAGCTGTAAAGCATAGTTGCTAAGCAACACGTAACAAGTGAGTGAATAGAGAGGGGTGAGATTAGGTCAGCATATTAATATTTCACAGGTCACACTGACAGAGTGTCGGTTTTGCTTGTTTTTGTCACTAAGTTTAATACATTCAGCCTGAGGACACTTCACAAATCCTTTGACATCAGACAAAGAAAAGCTTTTATTGCCTTCTGAAACTTAAACTTCAGCAACGCAGAATCCAAACTGTGACATAGTTTTCAAGAGATTCACTCAAAATACTAAAAAATGACAGCATCAAGAAGCACCTGAGTGCTGATAGAAGGTAATTCCTACATCAAATTTGTTTTTGGTCAAAGTGATGAAATAAAATAAACAAACATTATACATTAAACACTGAAACTATTACTATAACTCATTTAAACAATAAAAAGATGTGGATTTGTAAATTTGAGTAATTTGCATGACTCTACCAAAAACCATTCAGATTTAGAAGAATTTAGGTCATTTTAAGCAAATCGAAAGAATACAAAAGAATTGTTTTGAATATGACAAAAACACTTCTATAATATTTTTCGTTAACTCCTTTCAGTGAATCTTACCAGAAAAACAAATGACACTCAAATAGTTTAATTAAAATATATGGATGAATTCCATAACTGCAAACATGCTGGAAACAGTATAACTTATTGACTTATGGAGGAGGGGGAAAAAAGCTTTTAAAACTTTTAAAATTTTAACTTTTTTTTTCAATGCCAACATACCTGTACAGCAGTTTTTATTAGATTTAACTGGTGACTCTGTACATGCAGCTATTAATCTTATGTTGACCATCATGTCACAAAAGGGTTACCAAGACTGAAAAGAGTTGATCTTATTTACTTTATTGAATTTATTTATCTTCATTTTAGGCCTTTTCCTTTTTCAGAGTATGTATATCAGCTAAAAAACGTCCATACTGGCAAGCTAACATTTTTAGCTTAATAGCTATAATCACTAGCTTCTAGTAACTAACAAGCTCTTTACTAATAGTACGGTAAGTACTGGTATTTGAATACTGTTAGTAGAAGTAGACGACCTTATTGGGAGAGGGAGGCAGTTCCAGAGTTTAGGATTTGCAACTAACTGTGTACGAGTCAGTCAGGAAGGAGACATTAATTAAAGTTATTGATCAATGGATCTAAGCAAGAGGCAGACTTATGCTTCTCACATTTATTGATAGAAATCTTAATTTAAAAAAGCTGGCATTAACAGTGTGTTTGATGTGTATGGTCACACAGATGAGTCAAATTTAAACAAAGAATAAAAAATAACACAGAAGTTGTTAAGCTGAGTTTTAAACATGATGCCAAGGTGCAAAGACATGGTCCCAAGTATTGAGAAGCTTCATGTCCTAGTGATAGCAAATATAATAAAAAAACAATGGGAACCAGAACGGAACCTTGAGGTACACCAGGCCATTTTAAGAGTATTTACCAATGCTGATTATGAAGGACCTCTTACTCAGATAAGAGTAGAGCAATACAGGGCAGTGTTACAAAGTCCTCATGATGGAAGATCAAGCTCTCATTACACACTGCATCAAACTACTGTTATGGCCCGTCTAGGCGCGGCCAGACCACAACATAAAGGGTGATCCATCCCCGTCCAACCCCAAGCAGCACGTCACACAATTAATACTTTGTGACAGTGATTTATTTACAATGAGTGAATTTAAAAACAGAGGAAGGGAGCGAATTATAACTTCGGGGTGAACCCAAGGCCAAAACAACAAACAAAAGGTAGCCTATCTCAGGAGTAAATAAAACTTACCTAGTCAGAAGAAATAAACCAAACGACAATTACTTTTCTCCCTACCTAACAAAAACAGGATAAAACTAATCAAACAAAAAGGCGGTCCACCCCTACATGCTCCTACATTAAACCAACACAGTTAAACAGTGAACACACGGTCTGCTGGTTGGGTTGGGCCGAGGATGAATGACCTGGCAGTCCCTGGCGGTGTCTTCTTATGCGCTTCCTCCTGGTCATTAGCCAATCGGTACGATCCGTCCACCCTGAATGCACCAATCATGGAGGAGCACCTGCACACTCAAATTTACAAATTAAAATAACGACAACAGTCGTAACACCCCCTTTCCCAAGAATTAACATTACCCCCAAAATGTTTAATTCAAGGAGAAAGTTCTCTAGACAAAGTATCAGCCAACACATTCTCTTTCCCTTTCTTGTAACTGATCTCCAAGTTAAAATCTTGCAGCAACAAGGACCAGCGCATACGTCTTTGGTTGGAGTTGCGCATTTGGGAAAGAAACACTAGTGGGTTGTGATCAGTAAACACCTGCACAGGCAGCACACTTGACCCGACATAGACCTCAAAGTGCTGCAAAGCAAGGAGTAAGGCAAGAGCCTCTTTTTCAATGGTAGTGTAATGGGTCTGGTGTCTGTTAAACTTTGAACAGACGGGATGATCTACGCCGTGACCATCTTCCTGTTAAAGAACAGCGCCTGCGCCACACGAGCTGGCATCAACTTCTAGTTAAAAAGGGCGCTCAAAATTCAGCGCAGCTAGCACTGGTGCACTGCACAACAATGCTTTGGCAGACTCGAATGCCACCTGACACGCTGGAGACCAAATAAAAGATCAGTTAGGGGACTAACCACATCAGAAAATTTTTTGCAAAACCCTCGATTAAAAACCGGCGATTCCTAAGAAACGACGCAGAGCTCATTTTGTCTGCGGGACAGGAACAATCAACAATGGCCTGTACTTTCGCAGCAACAGGGCGCACTTGCCCCTGTCCGACCTGTTTCCCTAAATAAGTAATGGTGGCTTTACCAAACTCACACTTAGAGGGGTTTAATGTGAGAGAAGATTCACGAAAACATCTGAACACCTCAGAGAGCGTTTCCAGATGTTCTGACCACGTCGGAGAATAAATGACAATGTCATCCAAGCATGCCTCACAGTTTTTCACTCCAAACAATACCTTCTGCATCAGACGTTGAAACGTTGCAGGTGTGTTTAGCAACCCGAAGGGCATTACAGTGTATTGGAGGAAATGATCTGGTGTTACAAAAGCAGAGACCTCAGAAGCTCTGGGGGTTAACGGGACTTGCCAATACCTTTTTAACAGGTCTAATTTAGTGACGAATGTAGCTGAACCGACACGATCAATGCAGTCCTCCATTCTGGGGAGAGGAGAAGAATCAGGTTTTGTGACTGCATTAACCTTTCTGAAATCAGTACAGAAACATGGGGTGTTATCTGGTTTAGACACCAAAATACAGGGCGAACTCCACGCACTGTTACTGGGCTCAGCTAACCCATGTTTAACCAGGTATTCAACTTCCTGTTGCATTAAAATCCGCTTGGTTGGATTTACTCTATAAGCATGTTGTTTTATTGGCTTATCAACTTCCACAACGATATCATGAAACAGCACAGACGTCAGCCAAGGATGCTCAGAGAAAAGCAGCAAATTAGCTTCAATCAGATCAATGATATCTTTGCGGGTGGAATCTAACAGATGTGACAGAAAAGATTTTCTAACACTTCTGAGTTTCGCAAACGGGCCACAGGCATACAACCGCTCTTCTCAATCAAGTCATCATCTTGCAGATCATACAGCGGTGGTGCCGAACACACAGAGACAGGCGCAATGGGAGAGGTTTTTTCAGCTACTGCATCCTCTCTGGAAACATGGCGTTTAAGCATGTTAACGTGGCTCAGTTTTCTCTTTCGATCAGGAGTTTTTATTGCATAGCTAGTGTCACTTATCTTTTTGTCCACCTCGTAGGGACCGGAAAACTGAGCATGGAGGCTAGACCCAACTAAAGGAAGCAACACCAGAACTTTTTCACCAGGAGCAAAATGTCGGACCACCGTCTTTTTGTCATACTGGGCTTTCATGTTGCCTTGAGTTTGTTCCACATTTTCACGGGCCAGCTGACATGCACGGAAAAGACGCTCTCTAAAACTGCAAACATAATCTAACACATTATGTTCGGCTTGATGCGACTCTGATAACCACTTTTCTTTAAACAGTTGCAAGGGACCGCGCACAGTGTGTCCAAAAACTAAGTCAGCCGGACTAAATCCAAGCGATTCCTGAGTGGTTTCTCTAACAGCAAAAAGCAAAAGTGGAAGTCCCTTGTCCCAGTCTTTACCTAATTTGAGGCAGTATTTGCGCAACATAGTTTTTAGGGTTTGATGAAATCATTCCAGTGCACCTTGACTCTCTGGGTGATAAGGGCTGGTCGTTTGATGTTTCATTTTTAACTCTTTCAAAACCTGGGCAAACACCTTTGACATAAAGTTTGTTTCCTGATCAGTTTGAACAACTCTGGGTAACCCAAAAGTTGAAAAGAATTTTGTGAGGGCTTTCACAACGTTCTTTGCCTTTAATGTACGGAATGGGATTGCTTCTGGAAAACGAGTGGCAGCGCACTTTACCGTTAATATGTACTGGTGGCCTGATTTCGTTTTTGGTAACGGGCCCACACAGTCCAACAGAACTCTCTCAAACGGCTCACCCAGCGCTGGAATCGGGTGAAGAGACGCTGGTGGAATCGGTTTATTTGGCTTTCCCACTACCTGGCATGTATGACATGAGCGACAATATTTCACCACATCCGATACGTCTTTTTGACCCCAACATGTCCAGTTAAGCTGGCATCATGCGTGAGACTGAGAATCTGGAGTCTATATTCCTTTGCCACCAGAACCTTATTTACCCTATGTAAATCAGTTGAGTCAGGAGGCCAAGACCGCAACAGCACACCGTTCTCAAGGAAATATTTTACTGGAGCTTTAGATCCCTCTCTGTCCACAACAGAGGAAAAACAAAGCACCAGTGAAGGATCACCCTGCTGTGCTTTGATCAGCATTACTCTGGTCATGTTCAAGCTCTGATTAATGTCTTCAGGAATCATTTCAGGAACGTCACATGTTGAGATTTTTACAGAATCAATGGGTGACACGAAAGAGTCGTCTTCATCAAGCGTAGCCATAAATGACCCCGACAAATCCACAATCTCACCCATCTTATGAGCCTGCGCACGATTAATTAGACCCAGTGGTAGCCCACTGTATCTTGAATGCTGAGCCCAACACTTCTCTGTAATTGACAAGTTACCCTCCTTTTCCCACTTCGCTTTAATATACACAGTGCTGTCGTTTTTACACCGCAGGATGCTGTTATATAATTTGGAAATAATTTTACTTTGTGCTCCAGATTTGGTTGATAATAAGAATGTTTCTACAAATTGTAATTTGTTTAGGTTCACTTTTAAGTTTTGATTAAAATAATTTCTGACCTGTAGATATTTAAAAAAGTCATCTGACCCTAAGTCGTGTTTACTCCTTAAAGATTCAAAGCTTTGAAATGCTCCCTTATGGACAAATGAATAATAATTAGTTATACCTTTTGAAATCCAGTTTTTGAATCTATTATCATATTGATTTGGAGTAAAATCTGAATCATATGCACGCCATCTTAAAACCTTAGAGGCATTTTCCAAGCCGCCAATTTTTATTACTTCTTTCCAAGCAGATATCATTATTTGTAGCATAGGTTTATCTGTCATATGTATTTTATTCTGCAATTTTATGTCCGATATTAAAGCTGAAACTGGTAGTCCATTTGATCAACCTTTGTTGTTATTATTTATTTTATTTTATATTCAGGGACAGACATGACTGAGGGATAGGAAAGGGAGAAAGAAAGATGAAGGAAAAGAAAAGCAGAAGGGAAGAGGGACAGTGAGAAAGGGCACTTAAAAAGAGAAAGAAGAGAAAAAAAAATCTCCTGGATCACCTGTTGAGAGAGAAAAAGAAGAGAAAACAAGCAAAAAAAAACAGAGATGATATACTAATTATTTTTCCTCTAATCACTGCCTTCAATGCATCCCATAATATTCCTGGAGATACCTCCTCATTTTCATTATACTCTAAATAAGTTTCTATTTCCTCTTTCAAACTCTCTTTAATATTTGGATAATTTAAAATGTTTGTATTCAGCCTCCATAAGGTTGATCTATTTTTGCTTTTTGAGGCAGATCTGAGATAAACCGCGTTATGATCTGAGATGGTACAAGCGCCTATTTCACAGCTTTTAATTCTAAATAGATCATTCTTAAACATGACAATATAATCTAGCCTAGAATATACATTGTGTGGAATTGAGAAGTGGGTATACTTTCTATCATTTGGGTGAAAATCTCTCCACACATCTAGTAGTCCAAAATCGTCCATAAAGTGCACCATTCTTCTTCCAATACTCCTCTGATTGCCTTTTCCATTTGAAGAGTCTAACTTGGCATTTAATGTGACGTTAAAGTCACCACCGCAAATGAAAATTCCCTGACTCCTTGTTGTTGCCAAATTCAAAATCTGCCCATATAAGGACCAATCACTGCCTGGGGGAATATACACATTTAAGAGAGTAATCATAATACCCTGAATTTTACCCGTTACCAATATATATCTGCCTTCCTTATCTTTATATTCCGAAATATGTTCATAGTTCAAAGCTGAGGATATCAAAATCGCCACCCTCTTTTGCCTCCCAGAACTATGGGAGGAATAGAAGACATGTTTGAAACCTAGTTTGTTAAGTTTTGCATGATCTTTGTCAGCTAGATGTGTTTCCTGCATCAGAACAATTTGGGCTTTGTCCCTTTTAAACTTAGATAAGGCTTTCCACCTTTTCACAGGACTATGTAAGCCATTGATATTAACTGACAAAATTTTTATTACCTGCCACTCATCTAGATTGTATTTTCTATGACTATTATACACAGTTTGGTTTGCTGCCTGTACACCCTTATAATAACTAAACATACAACTTATAAAAAAAGGTTTCATCAGAAAAAAGCAAAAATCAAAATAAAATCTTAACTTCCAAGGTAGAGGTCCCTGAACTGGACCCTGCTTCACCTCGAGAGGCAGCTTCCTCATCGGTCTCTCAAGGGAGGCTCTCGATGGTTTAGGCCTCGCTATAAAGAGCATTCATGAGAGAACCTATTTATCTATGTATTGTATAGCGTATAGTAAACTAGCACAGTTTTCTCAAGAGTTTCATAATTTAAACTCTGCTCAATAGACAGGCTTGAACACACTTCTTGGGCTTTTCCCACAAGCTTACATTGGAGTAAGAGGGACCAAAACTCTTTCGGCCACTTCAAAGCAGCGGCTATGCGCTCCAATGCACTGAAATAGGAGTCTACCTCAGACTCGCGAAACGGGGGAACCAATGTGATGTGCTTACTTATATCAAAACTAGCAGAAGAAGAAGCACTTGTGCTTGATGACGTTGGGGAACGTTTAGCTGAGCCTTTTTTAAGCTCAAGAGCTCTGATACGGAGTTGCATAGCTTGCACCTCGGGCTCCTTGTTGCGGGTCTCCACCTCTCTTATGCGTGAGGCGCAGATCCTCAGTTGACGTACCTTCACTGGACTCAGAAATCCGATCAGCCTCCGTGCCAGCAGCAGACGCATCAGCTGCATTAGCATCCGCTTCAGATGCAGTGCCATCTGCCTCTTTCACTGGCTTGTTTTCAGCATCCCCCCGTGGTAGAAGCACACCTTTCTCCACTAGCTTTTCAGCCAGGGTTTCTTTCAACTCTGCCTTGTGAGCACTGTAAGACACTTCCACATTACAAGAGTTAGCCACAATGAGCAGGTCCGCTTTCTTACATTTGTCAATTTTTTTTCCATGAAGGTGCCTCCAAATAATCTTCAAGTGAGAAATCCATTCTCACACCCCCCCACACAAAAAAAATAAAACTGCCAACCAGAACAGGACACGCCAACCCAACTTACCAAAAAGCGAGAAAAGACACGGAAAGCAAAAGAACTAAACCAAACGACAATTACTTTCCTCCCTACCTAACAAAAACAGGAGAAAACCAATCAAACAAAAAGGCGGTCCACCCCTACATGCTCCTACATTAAACCAACATAGTTAAACAGTGAACACACGGTCTGCTGGTTGGGTTGGGCTGAGGATGAATGACCTGGCAGTCCCTGGCGGTGTCTTCTTATGCGCTGCCTCCCGATCATTAGCCAATCGGTACGATCTGTCCACCCTGGATGCACCAATATTAAAATTACGACAACAGTCGTAACACTACCCTAAACATAGATGTCAAAGGACTGGAAAAGGACCTCAGTGCCATCAGGAGTAATTGTAGTAATGACACTAAGCTGGTGTTGTATTTCTTTCCACCAGGTACTCTCACCCACGAGAGCCTACATATTGGAGCCGGCAGTCTCTGAGCAGCCCCAGTCCAGTAGAGACAGAGATGGACCTGCTGGTGCTCAGGGAGAGATCCAGGAGGGGCATCCGCAACAATGGCTATGATGTAAGTGACTGGACAACAACCTTCTGAAACAGTAAACCAGGAATGGGGTCAGTAGAGCAGATCCAGAATAAAGCCAGAAACTATAGCTTTACCCAAATTGTAATATGTGAGTATAGGTCTATATAACCTGTGTATTATAACCAAGAGTTCAGACTTAACCAAGGTCTGTGACTTGAGGATGGAGGATTTCTTTTTGAATCTCTGGACTCAGATAAACTTACTGAGTAGTAAGAAAAAGCAAAGCTCTTAAGTCTGATTCTGTAACGAGCTGTAATATAGCAGCTCAGGTCCAATCTCAGAACAACTGAGTGCCATAGAGCGATGACGAAATGGGTCACTTGATAGTTGTAGGAAAGTAAAGCGCTGCCACTTCGTCACACTAATAAAATAATCTCTTGAGAGCGTTCTAACTTTAATCCTTCCCTTCCTTTCCTCTCCGATGCTTTTAGCTCTGACCCAGTGGATTAACAAATTACCTTTTGATGAACCTTATAAACCTACACAGACACAGAGATGAAGAAAAATAAATTAGATAGAAAAGAAGAAAATGACAAAAAGATTAGAGAGAGCACAATTCCTTCATTTTTACAGTAGCCAACAGGGGTGAAAAGGCAGAGAGGAGGAGATAAAACGGGGACAGGTAGAGCATCGTGAGTGAAGTCTCTTTATGCTGCTCCTCTGACGCACCATAGTAACAGCATCGACCTGCTACCTACCTGAATGTCAATGACTCTGAATATGATTATAGCCTATTCATGGATTCAGATGGGAGACTTGATAGCAGTTAATAGCCTCGGATGCACCAAACGGTTTGGAAGGAGAACATGGTGTGTTTCTGCATGAGCGTGTGTGTGTGCAGACAGGACAGAAAAGCAATGTGAACAGAATCCCTTATCACTTTTGTTTTCATGCTTTGGAACGGTTGAGACATATTAAAGCTGTATTAGCAATGTTTGGATTTATGAGTGGCTTTTATGTGGTTTGTGGAATTTATTCCTGTGGTTTTGTACAATGGTTAGGTCATAATTTAATAATATTCTTTATCCAACTTTTAATGGAATCCTGATGTGGTGATGTGATTATGTTTTAATGTCTTGTTATTCATTCATTCATTCATTCATCTGTTAGTCTAATTAATTAATGCAAAATTTAATTAAAAACTGATACAGTGGGTTATTTTAGTTTTTGTTACACACGTCTTACATTAATCTGATGAAAGTCTTTTTTCCTATGTGACGTTTTAACACAGCATAGTCACAAATAGCTGCAGTAGTTTAGCTAATCTGAAAATCTAAAAAAAATGCCAATTTTTATAAGGTAATAAATATATTTAGATATACAGTTCTATTTGGGGAAAAAGGCAAAGAATATTAAATATAGATTTGATACTGATCTCTACCCTGTTAAATGTCACAGAAAAACATTTACTGCTATTAAAAACTAATTTGTTACATTTAACCACATTTTTGTGCTCCCAGAAAACAACTGTTTCCATTTATCTTTGCATATGTCCGTAGCAGTTACTGACTTACATTACTGCATAGTGAGTTGATACTTGTAGTATTTCCTCCACCACAAAACCAGCAACAGTCTTGCTGCTCCTGATGTTCCTTGGAGAGTTTGGACTAAAATCGAATTTTAGAGCTGCAGCACCGCCATCTTTCTTCTTCTCAACGGACTTTACCCACATTATTGTGGAGCTGTAATTAGCCTCAAGATGCTTCTTCAAAATTATAATAATTATTATCACCCTTGCATGAAATGAAGTGTGAATACCTTCCCAATATAATAACCATCTCGTCTCCCATGACAACCTTTAAATGCACAATGACACAACTGTAAGATTTTGCTACAGCACAAATGAATTACTAAAATAAAAGTATAACTTATTTGCTTGTGTTACCAGAGAAATATTCTCCTTTTTTTTGGTCATTATATCAAGACTAAGAAACTGATTATCTTTGTTGGGAACTATATTTTGTGCTTGCAGCCCGGGGACATGAGCAAGCAAATAAACGGTCTTTAGTCTCTGGTAGTCTCTGGTGTAAGCAGTGAGAGGATCCATTTCACCACCAACTCCTCCATTCATTCCTGTAATTGTGGAGCATCTTTCGCTCTAAAAGCACAAAATATTAATTCAATATACATGGATGCAAATCCGTCCATATGAGATTGGACAGGTTTGTGTTTAGCAAAAATAACGCTAGGAAATCTGTGTCCAGGGACAAGAAAAATAGTAAAATTCTAGAAAGAAAAAAAAAACAATAGATGACAGCTGTGAGACTTTTTTTGTTGACTAGTACACGACTCCATTGCAAGGAGTCGAGAAGAGACAAACGATGGAACTGCATCAGGATTTTCTCTTTTTTCTTTTTGTTACAACAGAAAAGATAAAAAGATAGAAAACAAAAACAAGAAAACGATATCTATGTCCATGTGATTGAGTTGAAAACATCCAGTTGTACAGTTAGTGCTATACAGTTATAACTATACAGTTACATTTCTCAAGGATTGATGAAAGCACTCAACATAAGAGGAGAAAAACACGAAAAACTAATGTTTGTGAGTGTGGCTCGTTTTACTGCTTCTGCAATAACTGATGAAAACATCGGCACCAGAATGTTTATCACTTCGGGTTTGTTTATAAGGAAGCCAGGAGTGAAAGAAGGAATGTTACGAGCTTTACACTGTGGACAGATGACCTTGGTGTTTGTGTCCTCGAAACTTATTGGAAAAGCTGATCAACTGCTTTTGTACTGGTTGCTAAATGTTTGTGTGTTCACTCCACAGGGTGAACCAGAACCCTTTGAGGAGACCAACGTGGACCGTCTGATGAGCTCTCTGGGTTATGGAGGTGGATCTACTGGCACTGGGAACGGCAGCTTAGGGGTGAAGGCTCACCGTGGCTCCGACTCCTCCACACTCAGCTCCCAGCCGTCCATTGACGAGGTCCGTACGCAGATGCATATGTTGCTAGGCAACGCTTTTAGCCTGGCACCTCCGGACCATGACCCTCCTTCTCCTCCAACCAAGTAAGTTTTTATTTTTCACTGAAAACTCTTTTCTTTTATAACATCTGCATAATTTACAGTACTGTGTGGGAAAGAAAAGAGAGAGGTCCCCTGATACGCACTTTGAAAGCACATACATCCCACTCCCAAGCTGTTTCTCAAAATCACAGCAGTTTTATCTGATGTCTGCTTGCCTATGCAGTGTGCGCTGGAGCAAGACTAGAAAAATAAAGAGACAGTAGGTGTGTGTGAATTGACTCTATTTCATTTTTTTTCTTCCTCTCTCAGCCATCGCCATCATCATCACCACGCTCACAGCGCCTACAACCCTTCCAGTACCAGCCACTACAGTGACGGAGTGACCAGTGCCCCCGGAACCATGAACCACCCCTGTGGAGGCAGGCAGAGAAGCATAGGCTATGAGGACATGCACCAGTGTAGCCTGCCCAAACCAGTAAGCACTTAAAGGAAGATTAAGGCTTAGAAAAATACAATTAAAGCTACCAACAGCCTTTCCAATAACTTCACTGTTACCATCTGTTTTTAATAGGTTCTATTTTTGAGTAGAAAGTAGTTCCAATAAAAACCAACACATTTATAGCACTGTCTAAAATTGGAATCAAGGTCTGGTAATAACAGGGTGTGACAGTTTTAAAGAAATTTGCATTTCAGGAACTTTACCTTTTGATAATACTCTGACACTCTCACAGAGCTCAAACTAATCTCACGCCAAGGATGACCAATCCTCAGTGACTTGATCTCATAAACAAGATCAAGTCTCTCTGAACATTTCAGCTTTCATGTGGCAATTAACCTGGCCTTTCATGTGTGTTGACTTTAATTAGAGGACCTAGGGATGTTTTTGTTGCTTCAAACTGTCTGTCTGTCCCCTGAGTTTATTAAGTACGAGTAGCATCAAACAGCAGCAGGATCCATATGAGCATCTCCAAAGCAAGAAGAGTTGAACATAATCATGCACAAGGCAAACAGCAGTAAAATAGGTGGATCGGATATTATGGAAAATCTATATCTGTACTTTTGTCCAATTCAGGCAGGTGACTCATCACAAACATGGTCATAGTTTAGCAGCTACAGTGCTTGGGTTGATTGCTTACCTCTGTGACAGGTATCAATATATTCTGATTTTAGTAAGTAAGAAAGTCTTCAGTAAGTCTGATTCCTGGAAAGCCAGAATTTTTTGTTTTATTTTTTGTATTTTTCTGTTAGAATTTGAAGGCTCACAGTATTTGGAGTATTGATTTTTGGATCCCATAGCTTTATATAGTAGATTCTTCACTTTTTTCTTACCATTACCCACCAAAATGCAGCCACAGGCAACCTAGCAACTTAACATATTGCAGATAGGTTTAAGTTGTTAAGAATTTTCACCAGTCAGGCAATTATAAATAAATTAATAAAAAGATTTAGGCTCAACATTAATGAATAATTTAGAATAAAACGAGTAAACAGGGTGCCTGTCTGGACCTCAGGCTTTAGGTACACTGTAGCAGCTTTCCTCTTGAGTGCTTAAGTGGTCAATTCACCCAAATAGCTTAAAGTGACTATTTCCTGAATAACCTCTGGTTATAGGCATATTAGGCCTAATATGTGTTAGTAATGTGAAGTCCACTGCCTTCAGCTATGAGACTGAACCAAAACATAGAAACATACCGTCTGAAAACCCAAAAGAAATAATTGAAAGCTACAAATGAATGAAAGAAATGTTTACACACAAAAGATGCTCAAACAGAAAAGTGGAGACATGGATAGTGATTACATTACAAAGATAATGATGACACCTTACACACAGTAATTTCTTCCAGTAATTTTTCTCCGACATGCATTAAACTACTTGAAGTATAAAAAAGAAACTCTGCATAATGGATGAGAATGTTTAATATTTAGCTTTATTATGCCAGCAAATAGATACGTAAATCCCCAAAGAGCTTGATAAGGTCATGCATGTGTAGTAAATATTTGCTCATGTGGGGTAATCATCTATACTCGTGTAAGTCACGTTGCATTATCTGCCAGATGACTAAACAGCTAAACTGGCTGCATGCAAAAGTTAAAATGTTGGCACCAAGAAACCGACACCGAGAATTTGGACAGTCATACTGTGCCGTCACCAGCTGCTCTGCAAGGAGAACCTTGAGAATGATTAAAGAAACTGAGGACTGAACGCCTTCCAACAAATAAAGTTGCTGCTTGAATCTGAATCTGTGTTTGATCTTTCTGTTCCGCTCTGATCAGATATCCCCTGGTTTCCTTACCCTATTTATTTCTTCTTTTTCCCTTTGGATTAAGGTTGTTTTGTGTTCATACTGAGCTGAACAGATCTCTAAATTGCATTTGTGGCTCCTGCAGGGTTTCCGGTTCACCCAGCTTCCTGATATGGGCATCGGTTCTCCACCTCCACTGATCCCCTCAAGACCAGGACCACCACCTGCGACCTCACTGCGACGGTACTACGCACATTTATATAATCAAACAGTCAAACACATTGCACTTCATATATTGAAGGGAAAACATTTTTAAAGCCTAAAATAAGGAGGAAAAAAACATAAAAGCAAGAAACACTCAGTCCCTTCAGTGAAAGATAAAAACGTGCACAGTGTTGAACATGTGGCCCATAAATATATTTAGACATCAAACTTGAAGGAAATGCTCACATATGGCATTTAAAAGTACTCTGAGATCGGTTCTCAGCCAGTCACATGGCAGCACTGGGGCTAATCACTGGATCAGACAGATAGTGGAGAGTACACTGGAGAATACACAAAATGTATCAGAATTTTAATCAGCGTCATTTCAAGAGTGCCCTCCACGTGCACCCTCGGTTTGTGCCACTCACTTCTCTCTCTTAGGCCCATATGCTAGTCTGCATCATTTGAACTGAATATTCTTCTTCATTTGAATGCTGCTGCTGTGTGCACTGTGTTGCTGGGCACTTTGGCACTGCAGAGAGTGATTGAGTCTGTTGGTTAGCAGTGAGGAGCACTCTCGCCATCTAGTGGGCAAAATAAATAATTAACACTTGTGGGAAAAGAAGGTGCTGCAGAGTGGCAGGAAAAAAAATTATGCAATAAAATAAAAAAAGACAAACTATAATTTACAATCAATCTACTAATAAAAATATATTAATTCTATATATAAATATAGATGTATTTATATATATATTTTTAAAATGTTCTGCTTGACAGAGACAGCTTTTAGTTGGACTTCTCTAATTACTGCTAATTAAATTTTCAGATATGGCCACGGGTATGTGACCATTATTCTTGCTTATTACAACCAGAAACGGTCATATTATGGCGGTTAATCAGTCAGCTCGTCACACATCAGCTCCACTGTGCTCCCAGGGAGAAAGAGTGCAGCATGTTAATCCCTCTTTGCTATGCACTGTGAGGCATTAGTGTGCACAGTGCATCATGGTCCTGAGATGTGCCAGTGACATCATCTGTCCTCCGGTTCTTTACTGTAGTTAACATGCACTGTAACACGTGTCTGTACGATGAAGAGGATGGTGCTTCAGTGCAGAGGTGGAGAAAGAATATGACTGCATGGAGAGCTCTAATAAGGCTCAAGGTGACAGGATGGGATTTATGATCCGTGAGGTCATGTGTCCTTCACTGCAGTGACCCAGAATGCCTGGAAATTTCAGCCAGATGTTGAAAACAAGTCTGGGAACCTCTGTACTGTGCATGAAAACCACCCCAGAAGCTGTCATAGGGCAAGAGGCAGGTTATACCCCAAACAGGTCACTAGTTCTGTTGCAGGGCTAACCCACGGAAGTCTTTGGAAGCCCAGAGTTCCCATGCAGACACAGGGAAGAACATTCGAAGTGTATACTTAAACCAGGACTTTCTGAACTTGCTATCAGTACCACAGTCTGATGTGACTTAAGATGAAAAGATATCTGATGGACTTTATTCTTGTTTTATAGATTACTAAAGATTTTATATGTTTTTTTTTGTTGTGTAACTATGTCTTTTCCCATAATATTTAATTAAAGCTGCAAGCCATTTCTACAAACATGTTTCCTGTATCTTTGTTAAACCGTGTTTAACAAAGATCAATATTTGTTTGGTTGTTTTTTTTCCCCCAAATGGTGCAGATTTGACCTTTAAACTGATACAGATGAAATTCGGACTGTATATAAAAGAGAGACATAACTGCCATCATATCACCCATTGGTTTATGACTGCATTTTGAAGCCTCACAGCCAACTCTGTTTTTTTATTATTTAAAGTATTGGACAGCTAAGTCTAAATGCATCATCTGATAAATAATGGTAAATAGTTAGAAAGTAAGGAAGGGAGATTTGACCAAATTATGTTGTTTAAGGTTTTGTCATATTATAATATTCAGTTTTAATGCTCAGTTTATTATGTTATATTGTTGGTGGTGACGCGTCAGTGATGTCTCTGATTTGTTAACTCCAACTGAATTTAAACTGCTTTTATTGCTCACTCTTGAACTCTTGAACAGATTCCAGTTGCTATTATTTTTGCTCTTCTGCCAACAGCTTTTAAACTCGGGTTTCAAATGTTTTCAGATTCTCTTAACTGCTTTATTGAATTGTGTCCTGTGGGCACAAAAAAGCTATAGTTGTTATTTGCAGGTGTCTGTTTGCTGTACATCGAGTTGATTTCTGCCTCTCCTCTCCACTGACAGTTCCACCCCTGATGTTAGTCTGAAGCCTCGTGTGTCAGAAGCCTCAGAGCTGCAGGCCCAGCAGCACAATGGTGCCCCCTACCTGCCACTCTCCAGGACCCCCTTCCCTGCTGTCACTGTTGACCAGTCCATCAGCACCTACTCAGGTACGACACACTGACAGGACACTGAATTTCTATTGATATGTTGTTTCCGTTCAATCTAAATCTATTTACATCTCACAGGAAACCCAATAACAGCAGTCTACGCTATATCGGCCAACCGCCCAGGTTACTCAGACTACTTCGTCATGTCACCGCCATCCTCATACCGGAGTCCATCATGGATGTCTTATCCACCTGAACCAGAAGACCTGCCGCGGCAATGGAACGACACACCTGTGAGACACTGTTTTCCTTTTTTTAAGTACACAATGTGCTGTGAACACTTTGCAGGAAGTTTCAGTGTGTGTGAAGCACTTCCCCCACTTCTTCCCGCAGAACTCACGTCACCTCGAGACCATCTGCTGAAGTCGTCCGACTGTGACACTGATTTGAAACGGTCAGTAGCTCGGTGGGTCACTTTTTCTCTGCACTGCAGTCTTATGCTGTCGTGGTTCTTTGGCGAATTTTGTTTACCTTTTCATCTTTGATTTAGCTGATTTTAGTTTATTGTACAAGTTAAATGTTGTATTCCATCTATAGTTCAACGTATATTTCCATTTTATTTTGGATTTTTGGCATCTGTAGTGAAAATATTTTGTATTTAGTTACTATTTTGTTGATGTCTTAAAGGTAAAAAAAATTAAATATAAGAGTATAATTGTGGCATTATGGAATTGCTTAGTGTCTCACTGTAGACCTCATACTAATTTGGACATAAAATGAGTCGAAGGCCAAAATTTGACTGAAGAGTTGACATTTCAACTGGCTTTTGAAGATTTCCAGAGACAGAGCTTTGCAAATCTCTCAGGGGAGCTTGTTCCAGGGAGCAGCACTGCAGCGCTGAAGGCTCTGTCCCTGAAGGTCTACGGTTTGATGTGGGAAATGTGGGAAAAATGGAGAGTAGGCCTTTAACTGAGGAACCCAGATGGGGTGTAGGGGAGGAGAAGGATTTTATAGGACATATGGGACTTGACTGGGAGCCAGTGGAGGTGTATAAGGGTTGGGGGTGATATGTTGCCCGTACTTAGTTTAGGTGAGAACTCGGGCAGCTGAGTTCTGAACATACTGCAGCTTGTTAGGCAGACGAAAGCAGAGACCACTGCAGTAGACCAGGCGGGAGGTGATGAAGGCATGAATGAGGGTTTTACTTGCTGGGTCTGAGAGTAGAAGTCAGAGTCTGGAATCGTTCTTTAGGTGGTAGAAGAGATTTAATGGATTTGGTATGTGATGAGTTTGAGAGAGCAGAATTCAGGATGATCCTGAGGTTGCAGACCTCCAGAGATGGTGATCGGGATTAACTATTTGATTTGTGTGTAAATAGGAGCATATGTTGCCTGGCAGGTCTTCCACTAATTGGATAATCCATGGTTTCCTTGGTCTATGCGGTGAAATTTACTTGGGGAAAATACTAAACGGCAGATTCCCCAGATAGAGTCATTGGTGTGTTAGTATGTGTGTAGACAAAGCAGATATTCATAGACTGAATCTCAGTGTGTCATGACAAAGAGCTTTGAATAGATGAGTAATACAGGAAAGGCACTGTATAAATCAAGTCCATTTACCAGATATACAAAAAGTAGAAATCTCATGAAAAAACATGTGAATCCTTCAAAATACTGTTTAAAAAAAAAGCTTGGCTTTGTTGACTGTTGTTTTCCTGGCCAAACAGCCTTGGGCAGGTAATTCTACTTTGATAGCAAAACCATTATCTGCTTCAGAGTTCAGACTGCATGCCAGCCTGCAGGCGAAAAGCTGACAGGATCAAATGTTTGCTGTAGTGTTCAGAAAGCAATGCAGTGCTGTACCTGGACCGATACCGTTTCAGGGTTTGTTTGTTTTTTAATTTGTGCAGGGTAAAATATATGAAGCTGATATGGAAATAGTTAGACTTTATCTGTGGCACTATTAAGTTCAAAATACACACATTTGAGAGAAATAGCTAGCAAATACTTTCAAGTTAAATGATAAATAGCTATTTGATGATCCACAAATTGAGCATAGGGTTGGTGACTCCTGTGACTCCTCCTAGTGCAGCTCAGTCAGTAACACTGGCAGCTGATCTTATTCAGCTGAGCAACTGTGCAACTTCTTGGCAAGACTCATGTTGAATGAGACTTTTTAGCTGCTTCAAACTGGATAAAGTTGCTGCTGCCACTCCAGCCTGCTCTGCCACCCACCTCCAGCTACTGTAATAGCTATTCAATCTATTTATAACTCCTGTTCCACGAGGGGGTCCTGTTGCTGCTCCTCCTGCCTTCAGGCTTTCCACTTATGCATGTGGAAGGCTCAGTATGTCCCAGAACACAGACATAGTGCCAAATGACTAAAATAATAAAATAATAATCCAGTTTTGAGTAAAGCTGTCCTAAAAGAAAGCAAGTCTTTAAAATTAAAAGTTACAGCCTTTTCTTTTGAGTAGAAAAAGCCTGTAGATGTGATTATGAGATCAAGCAGCACTTTACTGCACTGTAAAGTGAAACAGATGAATGAGCGAATGGAGTTGTTAAAGTTTGAGAGTTAGAGATTTTCCATTTTATTATTTTATTATGTTTTTGTTCTTCAGCAGGCTGATGGGATTTTAATGTTGTGTTAATTACTAAACAAAGAAAAAAGTTAAAATCTAACTCTTTTTTATAGCTTTAACATCAAGCTTTGCTCTGATTTTGCTGGTGTTTCTGGACTTTCATCCTGATGTACAAAGAGATAATCACATACAGTAACTTGTTCTGTGGTAGCAGGTCTGTCATGCGTGGCCACTGTCTTTGTGTTTTGTGCAGGTGTCTCTTCAGATGGGCAGAGGACCTCCTTCACACTCAAAACTCTTTGGAGCTTCATCACCCCTCCTTGGCTCCGGCACAGCGCTCCTCCTGTATGATTCATTCATCACCAGTGGAACCCCCCCCGCCCTCACCTTTTCCCACAGCTCTCCTCTGCCTGCCCTCTGTCTGTCCTCTGTCAGCCCACTTCATCTGCAGCTCAAAGCATTTCACATCCTCCAGAGCTCCTCTGCCCCCTAATCCCTCTTCACCTCGTCTTCGATCTTATGCCAATGAAAAGCTCAGCCATAATTTTCTCTTTCTGTATTCTGAGCCCCCGGCCTCACAGGCCTGTGCTGGCCCCTCTGGGCCTATAGTCACTATCTCCATGTAGACTGCCTCTTCTGTGGTGACCACCACTGTACAGTCCGAGGCCCCTCACACTGCTGAGCTGAGCTGCTGTGCTGTGCCTCCCTGCCTAACAACACAGATGCAGAGTGGATGAACAGGGTGATTACAGTACAGCGTGACAAGTTCTGTGGCCCAGCAATCATCGTAGAGTAACTGCCATCTGCCCAGCACACGATGGCAGGCAGCGCTGCGTTATCAGTACTGTAGCGCCCCAGCCGTTGCCAGTAGTCCTCTTCTGAACTGGACTGGACTGGGCCATCGTGGACTTGCCCCTAAGGTCCACCGTAAAGCCAGGAAAGCTGGACTGACTTAAAACTGTGTTTTGTTTTGTTTTTTTGATCAATCCAAATTCCTATGTAAAAACTCAACAGCTGGTTAATATGTGTATTTTAAACTTGAGTGAAAAAAAATAACTAAGGAAAAAGGAACAAAAAAAATCTCTTGTCTTGAGCTGTCTCTATTTCAGTTTTTGGATATTTGTGTGCTTTTGTCTTTTACTTTTGTGCATTGATTATTATCAATGGATTATTGTACAAAAAATGTTACTCCGAGGCAAAAAAAAATATAACATTATTTGAAGCAGAGAAATCGGTGGCTTAGTTGTCTGTGGTTATGACGGCATTTCTGTACTTTTTAAAAAGAATTACTTCGTTTACCTTTTTCCTTCATCCGACTCAGCAATGAAAACAAAAATTACTGTATGTCACTATGTTCTGTCAGTCATCTGATTATGACGTTTTTGTCTGCTAAACATTAGACAGACCTGAGTCAGAGACACTCACCGAAATCCTGCTCAGCATGATTTTGGTCACATGCCGTTTCTTGAAAGGCACAAAAGGCACCTTGGATAAAAACATACTTAGTATGAGCTGCTTTTGAAGGGGTTTCAGTTGTGGTTTGACTCAGGTCTCTTACAGTTATGTGAACACACCAGTATTCTTAGAAAAAAAACAGTTCTTTTACTTGAAAGGTGTCTACTGTATTCTACTGTAACTTTGACTTTTGGTTCTTTTGAGGCCGAGGGATTATTATTTGGTCGCCGGACTATGGTTTAGTACTGTTCAAGAGACTCGCCGGGCTCAGACGAGCCGTATATGTAACGATTACATGTATTACTGTATATAGCAGATGATTTAATGAAGAGATTTATGCAAGTAGTGTGGGAGGGAAACTTGACATTATCACGATGCCATTCTTTTCTTTGTTTTAGTCTGTTTGGGTTTCAGATGAAAGAAGGTTGTAACTTCTTGACTTTCTGAAGGTGGCGCACATTTCAGTATCATATTATGTCATAACACAATGCATAAATCATTACATTAAGAAAGAAGAAGAGAGTTTATAGTGATGTGCAGCAAGATAATTTACCGCTGTAATTGCAGTATTCATTAAGTAGAAAAGTTGATAGCCATAATAATAGAAATAATGCATTTTTTTTTATTATGGGGAATGTCTAGAATATATTTAGCCTCATTTTTACTGAGGAAAACTGGAATTCTGTGACCACACTGTACGTAAAGCTCCTTATCATTTAGATGGTATTAAAGGAGATTATAGCCATATATTAACTTTATCGAGTGGATATAAAAGATAAATGATATGTCAAAAAAGTAAATGATACCAAATGAGAATATATTAGACACGGGTGGGTGAGTGGGAGAGATATGGTTGGGGGTCGGAGACAGAGGACAGAGAGATATAGTATAGATATAATAATGTAAAGACAGGATAGTAGGTAGTTAAAGATGAAAGCACTTTTGTGACAAGAAAAGAGCAGAATCAATGCAAAAATGTCAAATGTGTAACTGCACAATTAACACGAAGTTTGAAATACTTTTGCTCAGCAGTAACTAACAGTGAAGACTCCTAACCCAGGACCTTTAGGAAGTTTATATTACACGGTAATACACACGTCTTACAAATTAACACTTTATAGCAGGATTTTGATATTTTTTTAAAGTTAGAATTCTTACATTTAGACAGTCATGGCTAAAAACAAATAGACTGGCTTTAAAGCAACATCTCAGCCACTGAAATGGTCATGGACTGAGATAGATTTTAGGGAATTTACACAAATGTCTAAAAAGGGGAAAGGGACATTTGTAGTCTGCAGACATGTAGACAACTCTTCCTTTACATTTATGACTTCAAGCAAGACATTACAGGCAAATACGTGGATGGATTAACTTTCCAAGTTGATTACTGAGAAGTCAGAATTAAAAAAAAACCAAAAACTTTTTCACTTTCATTTTGTTCTTCCAGAAGGAAATTTGGATTTGGATATTTCTTTTTCACAAAAGAGAAAAAACATTAAACCTTGTCGACAGCTAAAAATAGCTGTGAGTAGTTTGTGTGCAAACGCCTCTTTAAAAAACTTGAAAACATGAAAATGTTTTGTTAAAAGTTTAGGTAACACACAGGGATCAGTTAACTGTCCTGTAAAATAAGCAACAAAGTTTTTGGACATTTTCTTTGCAATAATCTGAAGATTTTACTATGAGAGAAAAATAACCCCACAATCCCAAAATCGTCAGTTTTGTCCTGTACTGTCTTGCCTCAATCTGCTAAATGAAACCCATGTGTGCAGCAAGCAGTACAGACTGGTTTTCTTCCAGTACAGACGATTATTAACAGCTCTCCGCTTCATAAATCCAGGCCTGCACATGATGAATATTAGTTGTGTATATTTAGCGATAGGAAAGCAAAGGTGTGAGAAGAAAGTCCTGATGCATTGTGGGAGCACACGGTGTGTTTTGGAATGCTTTGAATTGTCAGTATCATTACTGGATGACAACAGGAACCATCACATTTTAATTCATCCTCACTGTACAGACCCACTTTTATCATTTCATTTGACTCCATGCAAAAGAAAGGGGTGGGTGGGTAAAAAGCGAGGCTTGATGCGATGCTCTAAGTTGATGTGCAATGTTTGTGTTTTACACGGGTAGTGGCGAGACGCTTTGATTGATGACGGACTCCGGGACGGACTTAACTATCAGTAGTATTTTTCTGCCGTTTAGGGCATGTCATGAAGCTGTGACATCTTGGCGGCGCTGATGATGTCATACTATCGTCACTCGGGTGTTGAGGAGGTCACAGTGACGACAACCATGAATGCTGTTGGATGTAGTTATGCAGAAAACTTTTTGGTGAATTTAAACAATAAATACAAATTACAATTCTCAGCCTGTGTGTTTTGTTTGTATTTGTGTGCAGTGAAACAGGGCTGCCGTGTATGAACAGTATAAACCACTAGAGGGAGGCAGACACACGTTAAAGGTTTAATCTTTATCCAGCTTATGAAAAAGTTGTCAGCTGTCAGATAGTGTTTGTGTTGTTACCGCTGGCAGATACCTGCAAAAGATAAGGAAATTATTTGTGTTTTAAGGTAAGGCAGTTAGGTAATGAATAAAACATGCACGGGGAATCCTTTTTGAGATGAAAGATGCGTTACCGAAACAGCTGCCTGTCAGTGACCTTCACATGCTTTCAGTTAGAACGAGATGTCTCTGCGGCAGACTTCAGCTTGTAAACTGCAAAAAACACACAGCCCTGGATCACAGTTCAAACTCCCCTGTTGTCTTACCTGACTGTAGCCTGAAGGAATAATCTTTTGATTTGGATTTGGGATGTTCAAAAAAAGAATCAAAAGAATAACTCAGTGAAAAAGTCTTCTTTCTTGTGTCTAAACAAGATATTTTCTGGGCTCGACATATTTCTGACAGGCCAGTTTTACCCAAGAAGTTAATGTATCTATCTTTGATCACTTCAGGACATTCTCAGATATCAATGGCATTTCTTTTACTAGCTCACTTGGAAGAAGTAATCGATGCTTTTTTTCTCCCATCCTGTCTGGTTTATTGAATATCTCTGTGTAGCCAGTAAAAAGAAAGCATTAATGACTTTAAGTTGCTCCTAAATGCAGCAGTTGTACTTTAACTAATTTAATCCAATTTAAAATATCATTAATCCCTCAGAAAGCTTTGAATACTTTGATTGCAAATCCTGCCTTTCATCTTCTAGTCTCTTATACTCGGGATGCAACCTAAGAACAAAAGCTTGCACAGAGGGCCCAGACTTCCAACAATCAACCTTATGCTTCAAACATTCGCTATAAAAATACAAGTTTTGTTCATCTGTATCTTTCCTGGTTACATTTTTTACATTTTGCAATGTCCTTTGACATTTCTAAGCTTTTTTATTTTAACTGAGCATTGGCCTAATATCTCCACTTTGGTGTCAGCTGTGCAGAACTCATGTGGTCAGATGCAACTTGGCAAACCTAAACTGAGCCGTCATCTACTTTTGAAAGAGAAGCAATTTTCTTCAGCCAATGCTTCCAAATCATTTATACATGTTCAACCCTTTTCTAATTGTACTGTTGTGAACTTTAACAATTAACATGCTAACTGAGGCCTGTAGAGTCATAGATGTAGCTTGGATTTTTTGTCGTTTCTCTGAGGACTGTCTGACCATGGTGAGATTGGTAACTGTTATGTTTTCCCACTCATTACTGATGAATATGGAGACTAACTTTAAATTGTTTGTAAATAGGTGTATAACCCTTATTGATGGGCAAAACCTTTTTTCAGAGGTGCCTACACTTGCTGATGATCAGTTATGTGCATTTTAATATCAGCAGCCTGCTGTATGTTTTTCCTCTCAATTACTATAGTTGCACAAAAAATGTACATAGTTCCTCACACGCTGCTTTTGCATTTTAGGTTAGTCTTTGTTAAATAATGATATATTGTAATATGTCATACGTTTCCATGTTCCCATCTCCAGCCTTGGTAGCCTGGGCTTGGGCGGCCAGCTCCTTCACCCTTCACCCAGCTCATGCTGCACCCGACTCCTACGACGCCTCCTGCGGGTGGTGGGGCATGGCCAGAACACTTCACACATGTCCCTTCATTGGACTTGTGGCTCCAAGGCGGGGCACCAGTAACCCTATCCTGGGTATGGTGAAAAGGACGCAGTTGAGGTGAGGTATCTGATGAGGATGCCTCCAGGGCACCTCCTGGGCAAGGTGTCCTGGGCACGTCCCACAGGGAGGAGGCCCGGGGCAAATCCTGGACACACTGGAGTGATTATATCTCTTGACTGGTCTGAGAACACCTTGGTGTTCCCCCAGATAAGCTGGAGGAGGGATCTGGGGAGAGGGAGGTCAAGGCTTCTTTTCTTAGGCTGCTGACCCCCCAACCCCACACGGATAAGTGGAACAAAATGGATGGATGGAGAGCATATGTTGCTGAGGTCATATTTGCCTAATTTTAAGACCTGACAAGGACCAGATAGCTTTTCACTATATCCTGACAATAAATCCTTAGAATTCTTTTTCACATAAATGCATAAAAAATTTTTTATTTGCATATACATGCATGAAAATGTCTGTTTGAGAAGAATTATAAAGTTTAAGCTAAGAAGCTTGAGCAGCATAATCTAACAAAGTTATCTAAGAGGAAACTTATGTATTTACGCTTTGATCGTCAGAAACTTATGATCAAACTGACATAAGATACATTTTTTCTATTCATCTGATGAATTAAGTCCAACATCTCCCCCGCTTTTAGCTTGGTTTTGGTTTCCACCAATGTTTGAGAGAAATATGTAGCTCATTAGCTCCTCAATACTCCACCAATGTTTTACAGAGTAGTGCCAAACTTCTGTGTGCTGCTTGTTGCAGCTAGTGTACATGCAGCTCATTAGAGCTTTAAATAGAAATCTAGTGTGTGAGAAAAATATATGATT